TGGTATGTAATTGACAAGCTGGAAAAACTGCTTCTCTCAAACTTTACCCCGCTTGCTAACTAAATTAATAGAAAGATGAAGTCCGCACTCGATCATATATGAATGCTATTGTGCAAAACAAGCATCTTTTCAAGGACAAGATCGTTCTTGATGTAGGATGTGGTACCTCCATTCTCAGCATGTATGTATTTTTCTTTTCCGGCATCTCAAAATTTCAGGAACTGATGGATAAAAGGTTCGCTGTCAAGGCCGGCGCTAAACACGTTATCGGTGTCGATATGTCCACCATCATCGAGAAGGCCCGTGAGATTGTCGAAGTCAACGGCATGTCCGACAAGATTACATTACTTCAAGGAAAGATGGAGGAGGTTGTACTTCCATACCCAAAAGTTGATATCATTATCTCTGAATGGATGGGCTACTTCTTGCTCTATGAATCCATGTTGGATACCGTTCTATACGCTAGAGACAAGTACCTTGCGCCAAATGGTTTGATCTTCCCAGACAAGGCTACCATTTTCATGGCTGGTATTGAGGATGGAGAATATAAAGATGAGAAGATTGGATGTAAGTTTTCCTGAGATTTTCACATGGCCAATATCTTCAATGTTCGCATACTAACGTATAAAAGTCTGGGACAACGTTTATGGTTTCGATTATTCTCCTCTCAAGGCTACCGCTCTCACCGAACCTCTCGTCGATACTGTCGAGATCAAGGCTGTCGTTACCGACCCAACCGCAGTCCTTACCCTCGATCTCTACACATGCACCAAGGAAGATCTCGCTTTCTCCTCTCCTTTCAAGCTTGACGTGCGTCGCAATGATTTCGTCCACGCTCTTATTGCATGGTTCGATATCGATTTCACCGCCTGCCACAAACCTATTAGATTCAGCACTGGACCTCACACTAAATACACTCACTGGAAACAAACTGTTTTCTATTTGAGAGAAGTCTTAACTGTTGAGCAAGGAGAGCAAATTGTTGGACGATTGGACAACAAGCCAAATGAGAAGAACCCAAGAGATTTGGATGTTAAGATTCAATATAAGTTGGAGACTACAGATCCATTGAGACAAGCTGAAGGAGGTGCTGAATATAAGATGTGCTAGAGAGCTCTCCAAAAATCCTGAGTGATGAAAGAGGGAAGAGACTTTCGCGGCTGAGAGCGCAGTCTCTTTGAGGGAATTTAGTTCTCTCATTTGTCAATCATGAGATGATTTGACATTTCTATGAATGAACTGAACTGGGTATTTCCTTTGGCGTCAAAGATGGACCCATTCAAGATGAATAAATGGTTGGTTGGATGGGAATAACAAGATCTAAGTTATGGGCTCAAGATCTTGAGAAGCATAGCATTGCATTGTAGCGCAAAATAGGAAGCGAGCTACGCAGTTGATAATATCTAAATGCAAATAAAAGCCATGAAAGACAACCCTTTTTCTCAACGTATGTGATATGAGTGTAGTGATAGCAGTGTGCAAGTGACTTTATCCAGAGGTGTAGTGAAGAGACTTTGTTCTACTCCTGTCCTGAGACTTAGAATGTTCTATTCAAATAAAGGATATCTATCAGCGATCTACTTCTGCCTTTTTACGCCACTAGTCCCGGTAGAGAATTCGAAGAAGCAAAAACCAAAGCAACAACAAAAACCAAGACACTCAAGTCACCCCCCCCAAAAAGTATGAGATTAATGGACAGGTGACCAAAGATTCTTTTCTTCAACCACCCCTCCTCCAATTCATCCAATCATGTCTCTCTTCCCCGATTCCAATTATTCCTAACGCACTGCAACACAAGACATGAACTCCAAAACCGAGCCTGGACCTCTGCACTCTTTTTCTTTCCCGAATTTTCCTTTAGTCCTATGTCTCTGTTCTCTACCACTATTTCCTATCCATCATAGATTCGGATAATATGCCCGAGATATCCTCCCCCACCCCAACTCAAATAACACCCCCCCAAACCTCCGCAATCCGCGCGCTCAACGCACCCTGGACCTTCTTATTGCCTACTAGCGCACCGATCTCATTTGACACCATTTCTCTCTTTCGTTTCTTACTCGCTTCTTCGGGATCGAGGAGGAGCGCAGGGCCTTTTCCTTTTCCTTTAGATTTGGCTTTTGAGGTATCGCTGACTTGGGCTCCGACTCCTTCGTCGCTGTCGAGACTTTCAAAAGCTTCTAGGAATGCTCGGGGGGTGGCCCATCGCTTTTGTATCTCAATTGCCTTGCTGGCTGTGATACCTCTGGTTCGCATGAGCATTTTGAGAAAAATGTCTTTGAGAGTTAGGTTTTGAGATTTGCTGGATAGAGCTTCGAAGGCGTCGAATGTGATGTTGTATTCTCGATTCGGTTCTATTTTCCGGAGATGTTGCATCAAGGGAGTGTAGTTTTTGACGGATAGTACTTCCGTGGGAATGATATAGAGAGGATTTTCCTCATATTGTTTCTTGAGAAGTTTGGTCATGCGCTCGATGTAGTTGAGACTTTCATTCAGATCGAGTGTTTGCCTCACGTGTATACCATCTTGAACCATCATTTTGGCAATGGAGGTTGTGATTCCATCGCCCCACTTATCCAAGATATCTGCGTCGATTTTCTTGTGTTCGACGAGGTATTTGACGTTTGTGATACTAGATCGTTTGAGACGGAATTTCTGCTCCTCGTATCGACCATCTTTTATAGATCCGATGAGATCATCGAGTCGTTTGCGCTCCATAATGTAGTCTAGCATGATGAGGTTAGATGCTCCAAGATTGAGCCATTTGGCTTTGTCTTCGCGAACGCGTGCTACCCAGAGGAAATCGCCGAGAGGGAGAGCACGAACGGAATGGGGAACGCCCATGCTGGCTAGCTGGTTGGGAATTCCATCACGATCTTTTTTGCTGGCGACTTCGCGATTGTCAAGGATGAGTTCGACGGTGAAGGTGCCGGGACGCAAGATGATGGGTTCGAAGGTTGGGATGCTCGTGGTTTCTCCATTGGGTATGTCAGGAATACTGGGGTTTGATTGGGATGATCGACGGGATGGAGAATTGATTTCTTCGAGTTCGGAATCGGAGTCGTTATCTTGGTTTCTTGAAGCTGTTTTGGATGGACCTACTACAACAGGTTGAAAGTCATGTGCTCTTCCCAATGTAGGGTCACCGCTAGCTTTGATTGTATCGGCTAGATCCCATCCCTCATCCGTAAGATAATATCTGCTTGCTGGATTCTTTTTCGTGTACACAAAATCTTTGTTGATCAATGTCTTCATAGAATTCCATGCCGTAAAAAATTCACTAGGTCTTGTCTGTGTGAAAGAAGTATCACAAAAAGGTTCTGCTAAAGCAATGATCTCCTCCTTAGTGATTCCTATTCTGCTATTTCGTGGTTGGGTTCCTAAAGCCAGCATAATAGCATAAGCACCCGATCTCAATTTCGGAACATAGGGTTTAGGCTTCCTCGCTTTCTTTGGTGAAGGCGAAGGCGTCACAGATTCTCCCCCATCACCAACAGCTACGGATTTTCTTTTTTTGCCCCTCGGCTTCTCAGGCATAGCAATACCCATCTCATCGCAATACTTTTCAAGACTATCAGTCAATCTCTTCGCAAGGCCCTCTCCAAGTCCATTCAAGCATACTGCTTCACTAGGATGATCAAACCGCATTGGACATGCTCTCATTGAATCGCGAGCTTTTTTGACGGTCGGAAGAGATTTGTATCCCCGTTCTTGTGCTTCGACAACCCATTCCTCAAGCCATTTGAGCAGTAGCGGATTCCCACATTCAATTGCAGGAGGCATTATGTATGTCTGATTAATGACTGCAAGTGGAAGGACAAGGCAAAACTGGAGAATGTGAAGGCGAAAAACAAGCAAGAGGGACAATTCTGTGGCAATTGCTTAATAAGAAAAATTGCAATTCCCATTCAAGAGATAGAGATTGCGATAGCAGCCTGTGAATTTATTGTTATTGCATTGAATAGATGGTTGAATAGCGACAGCTAGTATTGAATGAAAGAAAGAGTTCTGGACAAAATCAAAGATACTCAGTCGACGCGACAACGGAAACAATCACGGCCGATTGCGCGCGGTCACATGACAGTTGCTCTGCTCTTTGTGCTACCTTATGCATAGGTTTGTGCAGAGTGTTATGAAAGTAACTGAGGAGTGCAACCTTGTCGCTGTGTGATTACTAAGTAATCGGAAGTGCACCACGCTTGTTGACTTCGTGTATATTATTTCTGAACCCTCGTCAAAGACATGATCAAGTATTACTGGGTTGACATTCGAAGATTTCACCATTGCATTTCCTTCAGGCTAAGAGGTCTGCTTGTGGTCATCGTCGCGGACAGTTCTACCGTCCTTTTTCAAGTCTGAACTTCTTCACTGCTTCTCTAAGATGGCGGAATTTGACAAGCTTAAAACGCAACGTGGACCAAATATGCCTTACCTTGCCAAACAATGAAAGTGAGACTGGCCCGACCAGCGTCTAACTTTCAAATAAGCATCAGTGTTTAGAGATATCAGCTCTCGAGGGCTACTTGCGAATTTCTCGCAAAATCCTACTACTGAGATGGCGGCTAGTATTTTTAATGCCTTTTTTGAAGCCAGAATTCCCTTATCCAAGAACATCACGTACTTGGTATGTTGCAGAGAAAATGTATCTTCAAGCACTGGTACCTGTTAATTTAACTGTTGGATATCAGAAAACCCTGTCGTGTATGTAAATACATCAAGTCTTACATCCCACTAGTGATACTATGGGCATCTCACACAATCACCTGTTCTGACATGCTCAGGTCTTGAACAACCCCAATTCCTACGTTTTATTTTCTTGGAACTGAACATGCGGAGCGGCGGTGACCTAAATGTATAAGATAACACAAAGATCACCTGGTCGTCTTCTTGAAAGACGCAAATAACTTACAATATCCTTCGCAATTTTCCCAGCCAAACCGCAGGCTCCAGTTGCTTACAAGCTCATCGAGAGCCAAAATATCAATCCGGATTCTTCACTCATGGTATTCATTAACAGTCTTGGTTTACCATCTGTATTATGGACTCCCACAATTGCTCTTCTTCAACAGTCCACTAGTTCTGTAAAGCCAAGCATTTTGAAATACGATCGCTACGGTCAGGCTGCCACGACCTCTCAAGATTCAGCCGATAACATACCAGGAAAAGGCCATAGATATGGTCACGATTTGGACCATGCAGTCAGCGATCTTCACGAGCTAATCCTGGTCACTGTCCCGACGAACTCCAAGCTCTTCCTAGTTGCAGCTAGTATTGGTGTTCATATCGCTCGACTCTACGCTCAAAAACACCCAGCTACTGTGGAAGGTCTCTTATTCTTGGATCCAAACATCGGCAATGCCGAAGCTACGGATCTCCGGCCAAATACTCATACTCCTGACTTTAAAGAAAGCGATGTGTTAGGAGATGATTTTGTGCTGGAGCAACACATCGAAGCGTACGCTACATTAGCACGAACATTTCAACACTGATGTTAAGAGCTCTGAAGGTCTAGATAGAAGAAATGTCTTGCAACTTCTACCCAACCCTTCCTCTCCCAGACTCCAATGATGGACTGGCAAAGGGCCATGGTTATGGTTATTGGGCATGACCCTGAACCTTTCGCAGAAGAGATGTGGAGGATTCTAAAGATTACCAAGAGTATTGACAGGAAGTATACCCAATTGTGAGTTTTTCATTCCGGTAGGGATGATGCGATGTTTTAATAGATTCGCAGTGCATGGCAACAATGCAATGAAGCATTGTTTAATCTTAATGATGCTGATCGTTCAACAAATAAAGTCCTTGTTGCTCCTGGTTGTGGCCATTTTATTCAGAAGGACAATCCTCAATTTTTTTCTACGCAATTGGAGGATCCAATTTCAAGAATTTAGATTTGAGACTGTGATCTTCGGCCAAAAATAATACGCCCGAAACCCAGTGCGAAGTCACGGACAACAGATTGCAAAGAAATCTAATAGTCCTCAGAGAGAATGGTTGGGATGACCTGAAAAACATTTGGAAAAAATCGTGATCAGTATGTTCGATGGTTCAACTCGTTTAAAAAATTTGGGTGTATGGTCTGAATTTTCAAGGATTTTGAACTAGGTTCGCTTGGATCTCACTAGGAAAGCTCAGAATACTACTTTTTTTTACAGGCAAAAAAAGATTTTGGAGAGAAAAAAAACGTGACGTTTTGAGCATCCAGTCCAAAAAAAACGTAGACTGTTTAGTTTTCGGAATTTTTGTGACAGACTATATTTCTTGGACTATTGGAAGTACTGATCACAATTCCCACATGTTGATTGACATCCACTGACAAGTCTTGGAAGAGATATTTAATGCCGTTGTACGTATCTGGAAGTCCTGTCAGACCTGAAACGCAGGCCTCACCCCTACAAGTACTTTACTGCCCCGGACACTACTCACTAGGGAAAGAACGAGAATTCATAGTTTCGAAGCTATATTTAGCTCCTTCCAATCTCTTCAAATCAGTGCCAAGGAGGAGAAATGTCAAATATTTGTTGCACATCTGGAATTTAATGCACAGGCCTTATCCTGGCAAGCTATCTTTTTAGGTCTCCTAGTGGGAGGTGTCTAGATAAGTTGTTTCTTTTGCTCTGGACGCCAGTAGTGGCCCGATGTATATCACACTTGAATTCTTGGAAATGCAATTTGGGGCATTAATCATGACGATAGACTGGTTATGCGTGCTGAACTTTTTGCGTGCATTCCCACTCATTTCCTTGGTTCCAGAATTTCTCATCTGAGAAGTTTCCCATCTTTCGATTCACGCCTCCCTTCCCCCCTTCTCCCTAAAAGCTTCATATCTATCTATCTCTCAGAACTCTGGTTCTTACAGCTACATTAATGGGTGCGCAGCAATCGTTGCCTTGGAACAGGTTGGTAACATCTCTAGTCTCAGGTCATTCTAGGACAGCTCTTGCACTTTGAACTACTCTCACATTATCCATCAGTCATTCTCATAGAAATGACATTTTGCTTGTCTTCAACAGGATTAACCCTAATAAGTTCCACGCCGATTAATCTCAGTGGTATATCATGATCACCTAGTTTCCAGAAATTGACTAGCGAAAAGTCTGTTCCAAGAATTGTTCGTTCTTGGCTCCGATGGTTGGAGCTGGCTCTGATCACTTTCAAACTACAGTCACTAGTCTCTTCTAATATGCATGATTTGCACACTTTGACACTTTGAATTATGGAACTCATCCTGACAAGTCTGTAAGTACCATTCTAGAGTTCAGAAGTCATTCTTTAGGCGTGAGACTAAAACCTTTACTAACCCTAATAATCGGAACTATTTTAGAAACACTCTCCATTTTGAGTTTTTAAGAACGATTTGTTGCACATCTAAAGACAAAAACTCAAGGTCTCATCCTGACTAGCGTTATAAATAGTGCCCAGTTTGTAAAGCAGACTGGAATCTAGCTTATGAATTCTGGTATCACAAAATGATCAGTGCGTTTATTTAGCATCAAGTCAAGAACACATACTTTCGATTTCATCCAGTTCAATCCATCGAAATGAATTCTGTTGCATATCTACAACTCCAATTTACAGGGGATATCCTCACAAGAAAATTAGTGGTGTCATATTGTTTGAATACTCACTTCCTATACCCTTACCGGTAGCAATTCTAATCCGTTACTTCTGGTAATAACACCCACAGATAACTTTGTTAAAGCCATCAACTGATATGCTCGCAATTACAGAAACAATGTTTATCTCTTTAACTGGGGTGACTGGAAGTGATATTGTTCGTAGTTCCACAGCACTAAACTCGTACACCTAGAAGAACCGAAAGTGCTTCGTGACTGTTGAATTTTGGAACCTTCTTCGTAAAGTCATGATATATCATCAATCACTTTTTCGACCCGGAAATTCTAGACCGTGAATGCTGACTAGCTGGTGTAAAATCTAATTTCTGAAAGTTCGCTTAGCATCCTGACAGTGTGTCTTAAGTCAATGCCCTAACAGAAAGTCTAATTCTCAGTAATTCGTTTAATGGCGGAGATGTATGTGATGATTGGTAGATCCCATGTTATATGATTACCGTTCGAAGGACTCCCCTTCTTCATGTTTCCGGGAGAGTAATTCTGTACGCAGTATCGATCAGTAATCCCTGGGAACTTGATTCAGATTCATCAAGTCATCTTGAACAGGTCAAATAACTACACAATTTGCCCTCTCTCAATCCCTCACAACTCACTCATCCAAATCTCTCATTTCACTTCCGTTGCAGATTCACAAGCTCCAATAAACAAGCATCGTCCCCACCAGTGCATCATGATAAGATATCACAATACCTTAAACTCAAACTACAGATCCACTACACCCCCCGACTTTTCACATCTACCCATTACAATCTTCAAGAACTTTCCTGTTGCACATCTATAAACTCCGCGCACAGGCCTTATCCCAGCAAGTACACAACTAATACATAACTTCACGACCAGACTATAACTCTAGTCAGTCGATCACAACTTTCAGATGCTCCAATCAGCTTTTCTAGAATGTTTCGGTTGCATGTCTATAAACTATTTCCACGAGGGTTATCCCAGCAAGCATAAACACCATACAATCATTCACTTCTAAGCTATAAGTCTTGGCGAAAGATCGCGGCTTTTAGCTTTATGTCACGCTCGATAATCAGAAAGATCTACCACGCGAAGCCCTGGCATAGTAACTAAAGGAATTATAACAACCTTCTGATTTTCATCCTGCAAATCACATCATCCTATGAACTCCAATAGTAATGGGGTACTACTACTTTTATAGTGTAAACTAAAGGATCCTACTAATGACAAAAGTACACTACTTCGCGCTTTATCTCAAACAACAAACAACCTCTACTCAACTCAAACTCAATAATATAATTCCTCCAACTACACTTCTCGGAGAAATTTTGTTGCACATCTGGATCTGAACAATACAAGGATAATCCCAATCAACAAGCGCGCAGACAGTACTTCGTAGCCTATGAACCACTGCAGAAACTTTCACTTGGAACAAACATAAAGCGAAATGGTTCTCGGATCTGAGAGTAATAAGTATATGGACGTGGCATTCACATCTTAAGCTTCGAGGAAATCGCAATCTGTATCCGACTTCCTTGGCAAGTATTTAAATGTGAATTTAAGAAACCCGTGTGGATGATGCATCCGTCATAGATTTCGGAAGATGTAGCGACCCATCATCGTGGTGGCTGACTCTGGATCCTCAGATCATATTTGTCCTTTTAAGATTACATATACCCTTCCAACCTCATCTCGCGCTCTTATACGCAAACTTCGTGTTAAGTTTTCTTAGGAATTCTTACTGTTGTATAACCGCATCTTCCTGAATACCTTGGGCAAAATCTATTTCGGAGCTCACGATGGTACTGTTTTTTACCTGAGATTTCTAAGAGATAGAGAGATGTAGTATTTTGTTGGTCTCACACGGGTCAATAAGGTTCCATGGAAATATTCATATTATGAAAGTATATAGTTTTCAGAAGAGGAGGTAAGAGCCCAATGTCAGGACACTCCTGTCATAATCTTATCACACACTAACATACATCATATTGATTCTTGTATACTCATAAGGAATGAGAGTACCAAGTTCGCCGATATTCCAACAAATAATATACTTATCAACGGCAGCATTACCCAGTATTTCGCCTACTGAAAAAGAGAATAAGCATTATATGCAAATCGGGTATCGAAGACAACCGGTCTTCTTTAGATCCCCTATATCATATCCTATTCTGCCTATGTTCAGCCGTAAAACACTATCCCTACGAAATGGCCACTCATTCTCTCAGTCCGTACACAATTTCGCCACTTAATGTCAAAAAGTCGAGAAAGGTAGATTTAGATCGACATGTGTTAATTGGGTTTATGTCTCGCTCCGTTCCTTGTTATAAAGGAAAGTCGTGTAAAGCCAATTTCGCAGATCATCGCTCACAGAACCCGACTTGAAAGCCGAATTTTGTTCGAAGGGGGGGGGTGGAATATCGCCGCTTGCACACTATAGCCGCTATACGCGAAGGAAATCACTAACGTATTCGAAATCGAAAGGATCGTCCGTTTTGCAGCGGAGGAAAGTCCCGCTACTCTTTCTCAGAGTCCATCTCCTCCTAATATTCAAGCAAAGTTCCACCATTGGTGTCCACTTCACTTTCCCTTTCAACGTAAGGCTCCACTTCCAAATCTGATCTCATCACATCAACGACGACTCTCTGAACCCCCATTGTAATCTTATATCCGGCCAATCCCAACAACGCAATAATGATAAGTAACAAGTTGATGATAGCCAATAAGCAAAATGGTACTGTATGCCACAATTGTACTCTGCGTAAAGGACAGCCGTTTTGGCTTCCATCTTCGGCATCAATCATGTTGGATAAGAGAAACCGGAAAGGGCATTTTCCGCCAGCAGATGCTGATTGTGTGGCCGGAGGGGTTGAAGAAGATGCTGAAACGATGGATTCGCAATCTATATCCTTGCATTTTTCCTTGTCGCCTTTTTCTTTCCTGATTTTCTTTTCGACATCCGAGCGGCGACGGATGCGAATATTCGCATGGTGCCTTTCTCTCTTTGGGGCCGAATGCATGGCAAGAATACAACTCTACGTCAAATTTCAGGTCTTGAACAGGAAAGCACGTTGACACATTCCACTTAAGTATATTTTATGCGGGGAATTATTGGTCACACAGGAGTAATTTGTGAGGGAAGTTATTGGCCTTCTTCAACTACATTAAGTGTCTTGATATCATGTATACATATTGGGGGTATATCAAGACGTGTGAAAGACAAGAATGATCAAAGTTCTTGTTAATCAACCAGAGGATAGTCAATATGGCACCGATTGACCAATCATTTATCAATCATCACGCCTCTCAACTTTGAAAGTATCAGATACTTGTAGAGATTTTTCTCATCAAAAGTCATGCAATCAATCGAGCATTGCATTCTCGAGGCTTGTTTGTATGATATCGAAGGCCAAAGATTGGTTAGCGATATATTAACTACCCGCTCACGTTTCACGGCACGAGGCATAAAATTCGACGAATACACGATGATGTGTGGATGGTGGCTTGTTCGAGGACCTATGAACCCATTCTGAGCGAGCCCCAATGAAGACTAGTTCTGCATTCATGCAATCAAGGTCCGAACATGAGATAACTCGACATTGTGGTGATATGTGGTCCACTCAGAATCTTGCCAGATGATACTACTGCAGTTGGATGGATAGCTGCCAGCTTAAGCTGCGAGAAGCTGTCAAAGGCTACGAATCAAGATAGCAGGAAATTCCCACTGCTGCAAGATCGAGATTAAAACTCACAAGAACGGGTTCCATGTGAGCTTGAAGGATACTTATCCTGCGGTGCGAGCCACACTTGAGAATTCATGTGCTTGCTTCATCCTGGGTATCCGGAACGAAAGGTTGAACCACACTTTTGGCTGATTGTTTGACAATATGATAGATACGATACATCAAAGCTGTTGAAGAATACTTCAAGGAAGTTCAAGGAAGACTTTTCACTGGAGAGCATACGAGTACAAGTAAAGTATTCATGCAATAACAAGATTATCTGAAGATAATAGGGAAGGTATCAACGATATCAAAGTATTTGGAATAATATTGGAGAACCTTGGAAATGCACGAGAAGTCAGGAGGAACCTACGGCTAAACTTCGCTACACTCAACCCCGCCACAAATTGATAAAGCAACTCCCACTGAAGTCTAAGGTTGCCCGCAAAGTGGAAGACGTCACAACATCCAAGCTTCATTTTGAGCTTCCAAGAGCTGCTGTGCGATTATTCGTGGTAACACCTTTAGTGAATTGTGCCACAACCAACAAGGCAACACATCTGCAGTTACCCTCACCGACTTCTTAAATTCTTCATCTACCTCAACGTGTTGATTTACTCGCTATCATGGTTCTTGAAAACTCCTCATCCAAAGAGGCAAACGGATCGTTCGACTCCGTTCCTACCTCCGACAGCGATCCTTATGCGTCTTCGGAACAAGGCAAAGGCCAAGCTGCCGGTATTCAAACATACAAAATCGATGGCAGTACGATACCTCGACCGCTACCAATATTCGGCCCTCTGTTCGGGTTCAATGATGCTCTCTTAACCAACATCATCAATGCCCGCATCCAGAATTCCAGCAAAATCACCAATCGCCCACTCAGACAAGAAGAAATCGATGCCCTTGCATTGCATACTGCGAGGATAATTAGGATCAATTCATTTGCACCTGTTGCCGGTTTATCCGGGGGCATCTACAGAGCAGTCCAAACGGCTCCTAGCTTTCGTTTCCCATTCTACCAACCAAACCTCGAGGCTTTCAATTCAAGCGTCTTTCCCCATCCGAAAATGCCGTATATCAAAGGAATTCCGGCACTAATTGCTTGGCATGCATTCAGAGGTTTATGTTATGCTTACATTGGAACCACTGTATCAAAGTTACTTTTTGGGGGGTATGCAGCTAGTGTTGGGGCCGTAGGACAGATGCGCGATCCGCGATTGAAGGATATTGTAAAAGCTACATCAGAAGAAGTTGCCAGACATCAGAAGAATCTACCTAGTCCTGCAGGGATTCCCAGACCTCCCATGAAGCCAGGGCAAGGACAACCGCAACCCCAGACTCGAAGTACGCAAGGATATGACGATGCTAGTCCGACGGGGGACGCGGACTGGTCTGGAGAAGATAATGCACCTGGATCTGTACAGCCAACTCCTCAGACATTCCCACAGACGAGAGGCTGGCCAGAGAGAAAACCGGTTCCTGCACAAGCCCCAGCACAAGAAGAGGAGAAACCGTTTGATTTGTTCGATGATGCTTCACCTACAAATAGCCAAGGAATGGATACCGAACCAACAACATCCCAATCTTCTAGACAGACAGGTTCGGCATGGGATCGAATCCGTCGTGGCGAAAAACCAGCTTCCAATTCTACTACCACATCGTCACAACCGCCAAAATCCGGGTGGGCAACAGTACAAAACAATAAACCTAAAGCATCGAGTGACGGCACATCGAGTGCAGATAGCTTTGCATTTTCTAAGACAGAAGAGGAGAGAAATCTGGCTCAAGTAGAAGCACAGAAAGAATTCGACGCTAGGGTTGAAAAGGAAAGGAGAGGCGGGGATTTCAGCAGTGGCGGAGATCAAAAGAGATGGTGAGGGATTGAAGATTTGTATAAGTAGCATTTGGGTGTAATTATCGTTATTGCATAAGCGTTTAGGATGCATGAAATGGAAATGGAAATGGAAATCCCAATGGAATCAAGAAATAATTAAAGTCATAAGTTCACTTGTCAAACCAACATAGCATTGTATCATGCTGATCACATCACATTTCTCCCATGTCTTAAACTCTCTATCAATTTTCTAAGTACCATGTAGGTAAATAGCCATCTCATCTCATTGTACACATCAGATATTATTTCATCTCCATCTCCATCTCCATCATCTCATTCCTCATCTCTATCTACTCTCTCTCTCCTCCCCACTACCCCATATATTAAAATCCACGCATGAAAACCATGAAAACCATGCCCCTAAATAAAACAGTTCTGTTCTTTTCCTGTTAAATTAATCCCATCCCATCCCCATGTCGCGGAAATTTTTGTAAAATTTTTGAAAAGCAGATTTTCCTCCCGTTGCAAGGTTCCCGTGCGTTCGTTCGTTTTTATTCATTCATTAGTTCCTTGCTTCGTTCTTTTGTTCTTTCTTTCTTTCTTCCTTCCATTGTGATTGCGAATGCTTTTTTGACCTCGAGAAAAGAAGACCCCCCACACGCATCCGTTCGTCCAGACTGAAAAGTCAAAGTGAAACCCGAATGTGAAAACTCCAAACGTATATCCATCCACGCATCCATCCATGCACATTACAACTCCTCCCCAGCATCCTCACACCCCATACTAATCCCCGAATCTCTCCTCAAGCTTCTCAACCTCTCCTCTTCCTTCTCCATCTCCTCCACCCTCCCATCACAATACCCCAACGTTACATCACCCCAAATACCCACGCCCTTGTATCGCGCCAACTCCCCGTCCCACCCGCGAATCTGTTTTGCCATCGCTTCCGCATCCGCACTATTCACGTCGACTAATTTTTCCATGTACGTGCGTACGGTAAATAGTACCGCGTTGGATTTCGGGAGACGAGTAAAGGTTTGCCGTTCGCGACGGATGTAGATGTCTGAAGGAGTGAGTGGGGAAGAGGGGGAGGGAGGGGCTTCGGGAATGTCTTGGAAGAGGATGGGGGTGGTTTGGATGAAGAGGTTGGAGCGTTCCATGCAGCTGCGCGGGGTGAGGTGGGTGAAGTAGCTGGGGGTGGTTAGTATGTTGATATTTTATATATACTATATTCTGGGAGTGGGAAAGATGGGAAATGCGGGAGGGAAGTGGAAGGCTTACCGATTGACACTCTTTCCTAACTTTTCTTTCCATCCTGGTACGGGTTTATGTAGTACAGCCATGTTACTCCCGATTCTCTCTTGCAATTTCCAGCCTGCGGGAAAGAGCGTAGCGGAAGCCATTAAATTCCATTCTCCATCTTCTTCGGATGGATTTTGTAACAAGAGATTGAAATCTTCCATGCAGAGACGAGCTGCTGTCTCGAGTGGGTTTTTACATTTCGAACCAATGATAGATCGCTCTCCTGTTAACTTATTGAGGATTGTGTTTTCGTCCACGAGGGAGAAATCATTTGGATATCGATCTAGGAGAAACTCAATGACCATTTCGAGGAGTTCGTATGTGGCTGGGATGGCTGGGGGTAAGACTTGTAAGACGCATGGCCCATGTGTTTCGAGGAGTGAAGCGCGGAGTTCATGCTCGGCGAGATAGGTGGAGTCGATGGTGAGCCAATTGGATTTGTCGAGACGTTTGAGACCCATTGAGGTTGGATGGGGAGAGGTGGGTTTGAGTGGTGGGAGAGCATAGGCTGGTTTCTGAGGACCGGGTTGGGTTTTGGGTGGTTGATGGGGTGGACTGGGGAGAGAGGTAGATGATGTGGATGAGCTACATGATAGTAGGTGGGAAATTTGGGTGAGAGGGTTATGGAGGAACTTTGTAATGTTTGATGGTGAGTTTGTAGAAGGAGAAGTTCTCTTATGACTTCCATTCTGAGGACGTCGTGTATGAGTTTTTCGTTGAGAGCTGAGGATATATAAAATGCATGCCGTAGCAAAGAAGACGAGAGACTCCACAAGCAACATATTGCTTCCGTTCTGTGTTCCGAAGGCTAATGACGATGATAAAGATTTGAGGTCCCGGTATGGTATACTATCTCTTGAAGATGAAGCCGAAGATGAATTGAAAGAGGAGGGATGAGACTGTGTTCCCTCTGAAACCATTGGAAAGCCTTTATTTATATTCCCCACAACGTCCTCTTCCTTCTTTGCATGCACCAAAGAGATTCCAGAAAGTCCCAACGATGGTCCAGACCGACTCATCGAAGTCCGGGCAGGCATTCCCGATAATCCATGCGCAAGTGGCGTTTGCACCTGCATATCCGAACAATATTTGATTGATAGATTTGACAAGATGCCGATTCCGAGCCGTTGCATATGTATGTACTGTAGGCACTTAAAAAGCAAAAGACTTTTATTTTTTTGGAATGGGGAAAAGTAAATATATAGCAGGGAAGGAGGACAGGCAGAAATATATCAAGAAACTTGGTCGAATAGATTAAAAGATGAATAAAATCTCTTCCTTGCTACCTGAGGGAGGGATTGGTTTGTATGATAAAACGTAGGTCGTATTGCTACGTATATGTGAACGTGTGTAAGTGAGAGAATGGGAAGGTGAGTGAGTGATGAATAATATTGAGAGAAAGATGTTGTGAAAGTCGTGTAAATGTTTGTATGGACTGGTGTGACTTCAGGCTGCAAAATCTGCAACAAAAGTAGGACGACAGGTAGATTCAAGGAAAAAGATAGGAGAGATGGATGGAATGTTGAAAAGAAATATAAAAAAATACAAGTACAAATGTGATAAGTGGTAGAAATCAGTCCCAGCTACACGGGGTTGGGAAGGTTCTTTAATATGACAGAACCAGTCCGGTCATGTCATATCAATTATGCCATTATGGAGTATTGTATTCACTTGGAGAAACAGAGAGTTAGAATTTGCCTGGGCTCAAGCGTTCACGCTCAGCCATGATTGTTGTTCATCAACCCATCTTCTTGGGTAAGGTAATGAGAGTAAGAAGCTACAACCTAGATGCATGGCCATGGCTGTGATTAATTGCATCTTGATTCTTGATTCTTGAAAGATCGCTTTGTTCATGGTCCACTCGGTCCGGGTCATAGCTATTGCGTGTATAGTACGAGTAGGTATTAGAAATTACGAGGGTGAACATGGGGAATCATCAAACCGGAATCCCTTGATTAGAAGTGTGGGAAAGGCTAGGAATGATGAGCAGAAAGTTTGACATGAAAATGATCCAAGTAGATCTTTATTTATTCAAGACAGGTATGACCTTGACACATATTTGGATATTGTGGCAACTACTCGGCTTATACTACGACACGCGGTAGCCGTGTAACGTAAGTGGAAAGGGGGGGAAGGTCATCCGAGAACTAACACCTGGGCCGAAATGGGTAATGGGTGGAAAGTTTATCGGAGTCGGACGGATAGAATAGCTAGAGTTAGGTAAGTGCGACAGATCGCTCGTATGTACGGCGTGGTGTGGCGTGGGAGAGAGAAATGTCGAGACAAGCAAGATAAGACGGCTGGATTCCCAACATCCAGTCGATTGAATTTGGTTTGTGATCTTGGTGGTGATTCAGATGGTCATGGATCATGGAATGAAAGCCGGTAAGGTGGGAGGGAGGTGTGGGAAGTGTGGATGGTGGACGGTGGATGGTGTGTGATGTGTGGTCACTGTGGTGGACTCGATGATTTTGTATCGGAATATGTAGCTTTTGCTTTCCGAGTGGATACTTTCATTCACAACAGGACCAGGACCGTGGCAGACTCGCAGGTAATGAAAAATATGGGGAAATTTGGTGTTGAGCTTACCCATACCTGGGGAGTTATTCTTAGAAGTCGATTCTACCTACTTGGTACTACGAGAGAGAGAGAGTCGTAATACCTAGCAGTGGAGTGGGAAAGTTTGAAGATGGAAATACGAACCACACAAATCATACGAATGAGAATGTCTGGTGTCGTGTGCGTTTGGTTTTGTGTACGATATGATATGGGTATCACGTATCACGTATCACGTATCATCACAACATTTTCCATGTTGATATGGTCGACTAACCCATGAGCTCATTAGTGAGTATTTCGTACAGAAAGTAAGGTAAGGTACGTGATGAAATTTAATATATTCAAGGACAACTCGTATCATGATTGGCTCACATGACATCGGAAATCGGAGAGATCTTGTGAATCTTTCTTGGATGTTGGGAAACTATTGGAAGTTGGGGCTGAGTTTTCCTCCCAAGCCATACCAGGATCTATTTTTTGAAGTTGACCGCGAAGACCGCGGGGGAATAATTATGGTGAAGAACCAATTGGATTCTATCGTGATGGATGATGAATCATGGATCGACATCTCCCTGGTAGGTGATGGATAAATTGAACTTGCGTCAAAGAGAACGACCAAAGTCACCCAACACCAAGCATGAGTGAGCTTGAGGCCAAAGTTCGTTTGTGTGGTGGGAGGTGGTTTCATTGGATCCATTGGATTTGTTGAATTCATGGAATTCATGACTCTGCGCGGTGAACCTGTGAGATGTCTATCATATCTATCATGTATGAGATGGCATATTCGCAATCTGATACGATAAGGTTCTGATCTCGCAACGACGACCCCATTCATATACATAACGTTAATGTAAGTACTAGGAACGATGTGATATAAATTGAATGTACGAGAGACTTCATTGCTTATTCCAAGTATCTAAAGTATTTGGTACTGAATTGGTATTGGTATTGGTGAGATGATGGAATCTAGATGGCATAGCGGACGGAGATGCATTCACGTATCTAGATTCCAAAAAGGTTATCTCTATCTATCAATCCACAATATGCAGCCACCGACAGCTTACCTCCCATCTGAAAATCCTCCATGAATCGAGTAAAGAAGTCCCGTTTGACTCAAAGCCATAACAAGTCTACAACGTCTACATGTAGTGAAACCAAAATCAAAACAAAATCCCAAAACGTTTTTCAAAGCCTTTGCATCACTCGTATCGTATCACATTCACGTTGTACACATAGCAAGAAAAACAAAATGTCTCTCAACCTCAACTTAACTTCAAAAATATGGTTCCCTCGAATTATTCCTCGCGGCAACAGCGGAAAATCATGAAACTTGGGCCATTTCTGCGGCTGAACACTTCCAATCTTCTTTTCATTCTAAAAAAAGTCATCACTTCGAACTTAACCCGTCCACCTCTCAACTCTAATCTGTGAACGGATATCGCGCGGATTTCCTCAAATTCCACACAGAGGCCATGGCGCATTTGGCGTGAGGTACAACTTTCCATACCGAATGATCTTGGCGATGCTGGCTTTATTGGCAATTTTGGTGGAGGTGTGCTCTCCAGACGTTTTCATCAACTGCATCGTTGCACCACAGCTGTGTGAAATACCACCTACACACCTGCTGCTCACTGCACTACACTGACAATAAATATATATCTGCATGACAGTATCCACGGTACGCTGATCCGGGCCCAGGAAATCGTTTCGTTTTCCAAGGGTGGGGAATTGGGGGGAGGGGAACTCCTTGTCCGCAGGGACCTATTTAGGATTGGGATCATGTCATGGTCGTACACATCGCCAATTGCAGCTACGGCAATTCCTACCTCTAGCCTGCACATCACATAATCCGGTAAGCATGCTTCTTTCGCAGATACCTGGAGATACTGGATACGGTACTCTGTTTATCGTGTACACACCTCGATTCTCCACCATCAGCCAAATGGAGACGTCTGGGATACCTGGCAGACAGCCCCGGCAGACAGAGGTGCATAAAAGTCAATGCGGTTTCATGCAAGAAATTTCATGGTTGGTGGGTGAGTGAGCGAGGGAGGAAATGCCGGTTGGCTGGGTCCTGTCATGATGCTGGTGCGAATCACGTATATTGTGCTGTGATGCGTAAATGCTTGCAATGGAATGCAAACGGGTGGATATATGGTTCGATAGTTGCACAGGTTCTAGATGGATATCCTAGCATGTGGCTTTGGGGGAATAAGGAATAGTGACGTTTGATATCAAGGGGAGGATGCGACGGAATCTAGATCTTGGTTGTGGTGTTGAATTTGGGAGGAGAAATGGGGGGGTGAGGTTTTGGGTGTGCTCTGGTGGTGGGTGTGATGTTGAAAGATGAGGATTGTTACTTCATACTCCTGTTTTAGAATGGAAATTCGCGTTTGTAACGTTTGGTGTACGTTTGTGGACAGTTGCATATGTCATTTAACGATTTAAGCCGGTATTGGCTCCTCGTGCTCTTCTGAGCATAATATGCATATTGACTTACCACACATAACAACAAGGTGGAGTGGAGTATAATATATGTGTTTACAATCTACGGTCTGCGGAACTCGTCGCCAACCTCCTCTACCAATGAACAAGGCTTACAAAATCCCGAACATGGTCAACATCGCCACGATAACCACGATGATGACGCTGAGTAACCTAGAACAACATCAAAAAAAATCCCGACAAGTCAATCTTTCCTTACACAAACAAAATACTCCGGAAAATACATAACAAGGCGAATATTTACGTGGATGCCGCCGGAGCCACATTTTCAATTTGTACTGCTGGCCCAGGCTGCGTTTGACCAAAGTTCAAATCTAGAGCTATCATATTTCGCGCCGTGGTTTGAAGCCACCATGGCCATCCTCGAATTGTGCCTAGTATGCTCATATCCTTAGGTAAGATGATTTGGCCACTTCTTCCCGCCAACACTTGATCGACAACAGCATTAGAAATGGTTTCAGGTTGGAGATATGGATCTTTGAAGCTGGCTTGCGAGATTATATCCTCGGCTAATGGCGTCCGAACCCATCCTGGATTGACAACACTATTTCCTTTGTGAGTATGAAATACTGGTGGTAATTTCGGGCGGATGGAAAGTTGAGGACTTACGTGGTTCGGATATTAGGTGCGTTGTATAGAGCTTTCAATTCTGATGCAAGTCCTTCATGAAACGCGAGAGCACTGGCTTTCGAACAGGAATAATCTACATTGGCAGCGTGCACCAAGTAGCTTGCTAAAGAGGCAATTGTCACTACGTGACCATGGTTCTTCTTGACCATCGCCGGGACGAATTCTCTAGCCAGAAAGAAATGAGATATCGTATTAACCTCAAAAGTCTTTCGGGTTTGTGCTTCGCTGCCTTCTAGAATGGGCATGAGAGTACCAACTCCGGCATTATTAATGAGCACGGTAGGATCTCCATGACTTTTCCTTATTTCGGAAGCCGCAGAGGCAATTTGGGATGGTGATGTTATATCAACTCGATAGTAGAAGACATTTGATGCTTTAATATTGTTAGTCACCATTGTATATCATGTGTTCCCGAAGGTAGAAAAGCTCACGAAATGGCATCTTTGGAGGGTTCACATCCATTACCACAACCTTAACCCCTTTAGATGAGAACTCTCTTGCCATTGATTCTCCTATCCCACTGGAACCACCCGTGATCAAGACAACCTCTTGACTCTTAATGAATTTCGCATTGCTTTTCCAATTATTCAACACAAGCTGAGATAACTTCTTATTGACACCGCGTACAACACCCAAAACGACCAGGGCCTTCAATGCTCGAATGAAGGCGGGAGAATAAATATATGGCTGGATCTTGTTCGGTATAATAGATCGCAATTTATCTGGGTAGTACCGAAGTGCTACAAGCAAAAGACCTGTGAGTTTAGGGTCAAAAGGGGCACCTAAAATTGCTGACATTTTGGCTTTCCCTGCGATTTTCAATATAAACAGTAG